AAATGACGCCATTCCCTACGGCGGGGACAAACCTAATAATAATCTTCATTAAAGTTCAGTCAGTACTTAAAGAGTATGATTGTCACTTACAAGAACAGAAGAAAATAGATCTTAAATATCTAAACTTTCTACAAATTGCCATAAAATAGCCAAATCAAAGGAAAGTTGAGGTTCAGATGTTTGGGTGCTTCGCAACAAAACTTGCAGTTATATGCATTAGAAATAGACAGGATACAAGGTTAAAGCGAAAGTTTTAGCTTTGATGATTCAAAAGTCACGCTGCAGGCTACAGGATATGGAACTGAATGCGATCAGGTACTGTTGGAAGTCTTATGGGAAGAACAATTTTATGAATATTTACAGATATACGAACTTGATCTGAACATTGACCCTCGCAAACAGATTATGCGGAGGACAAGCACAGGCCTTGGAGGAACAACTTGCTCATTTTTCTTCAAAGAGAACGAAAATGATCACCGGCTGTTTGCTGGGAACTTCTGGACGGTAACAAACATCTTTTAAGCGTGACGTATACAGTCAGAAAAATTGGTTCAGTTGAATATGTCCTCCTTTAATGATGTTGCAAGAACCTGTCCTCAAAAGAAATGCCAAAATGCCTCAACCATTATGGATCCGGTGCTGAAAAAGCTCTGCAATACTTCCTATACATGGGATATTGTACCTGAGTACGACATCTTCAAGGTTGCTATCTTCATCTCAAGTTATTTAAGCCAGATCGCCTCTCGTATTTCCAATTGGAAGAGAGCTCATAGCTAAGTTAGATTATAGGTTAACAAGTATGGAAACATTGTGCAACAACTAACAGACAGCCCTGGCTATGATGCTGAAGCGGTGCTTAGCCCGGATGGGAAAACAATTGTCTTCACATCAATTCGATCCGGAGATCTGGAACTTTGGTCAATGAATTCTGACGGCACCAATCTTAATCAAGTATGAGTTACGCTTCACGAGTAGCCCTACCGCTGACATCCAGCAGCAGAATATGAATAAAAGAATAATCAAATCTAATGGTTTCAGCACTTTTTTCATCTTAAATGAACGTACTACAGATTACTTACGAACTTGGATATGACGGAGGGGCGTTCTTCTCACCAGATGGTAAACGACTCGTTTTCCGAGCGAGTCGGCCAAAAACACCGGAAGATGTCGCCAAATACAAAGTATAGTAGCTGTTTCACGTTTTCGTTAAACTTCTTTT